CTCAGCCCTTGGCACTGGGGAGCTGCTGCCACAAATGCTCAGTCARGGTGGTGGATATGGTGAGCTGGCTCTGCAGGGAAAGAGAGCACTGGGTTCTATTACAAAATATTTCAAAATATGAGTCGTGCTCTTCTGTGGCAGAAAAGTGTTAAGACTCTAATTAAAGGTAAATATGAACTTAGAGAAATCCATACCCATYATTGGCACCCCTTTCATCTCTGAATCTCAGACCTGGCCCCTCTGCTGCATGGATTGTCACTGTCAGAAAAAGGGCAAATACCAAAAGAGGATGAGACTTCACAGTTTAAGTGAAATCACTTGGGAATGGTTAAATCAGGTTTTCTGATTAACTGACTCACTTGATAAGTGTTTGATTCACTCTCTCACAAACACTCTTTTCCTTTGCTCTGCTGTCTGTGAGCAGAGGAGACACCCGTCTGTCTGTCTTCCAGATTAAACTCTTTCTCCACAAAGGAGCCTTTGGTCTACTCTACACACTTGTTGGGTTTTAGAGGATAAATACAGCCCACAGTTTTAGAGGATAAACAAATCTGTGACTTCTTAGTTGCAACAAAAAAGTGTGACTGGAGGCAGGTTTGGCAGCAGAGAATAAGCTCTCCAGACTGTCATGAACGCTGGCTTGGCAGCAGAGGAGATAACTATATTTAAGGATTTCAGAGAAGAATTTCTCCTAAACAATAATGTTTGAGCCAATTGCTGCCTATCCTGTATGTCTTATTATATGTSCATTTACATGAAGGATAGAATCTTTTCAAAGGAAAGATGTTGCACTTCTAAAGAAAATAAGAGCATTTACTAGGTATAGCAACCTCCCTCTGTGTTTTACCCTTTTTCTTCAGTTTTTTTCTGTWTGCAATAATCTACAAATTCTCATTCTAGATTAGATGGGGGTTCTTGGAGATGCACATTCCTCTGTTCCTTTGGCAAAGCTCAAMATCTCTTGTTGCCCCTGTAATACAAATAATAATATGAGCATAATCAAGGTTGTATTTGTTTTGTGATTATTCTGAACACTGGAGACTAACAGTAATTATAATACCATTAAATAGTAATGGAAAAAGATTTAAGAGTGGACCATGAGACTCCTGGAAGGAGATGAATATCTTGCTCAGTTTTCTTCAGTGCTACAGGYATTGCATTGCCTCTCTTATGAAAAAAAGAGGCACCTAAAATGATTTCCGAAATGCTAGGAGCCAAGAGTGCCATGTAAAAGACAGGTTTATGTGGGAAAAACGAAACAGAAATGAATTCAGTTTCAATAATTAGTTTCCTGTATTTTTAACMGTGCAGTAGTTGTCAGAGATACTGCATTTAGAGCCCAGAGAGAGGAAGATAAGTGTGAAGAAAGCAATTCTTCCATGTATGTCTGTACSTGTCACCATGCAATGTGATTGTTTTATAGATCTGTGCAGTCAGTGTTCTCTTGGAGTGTGTGGATGTGGAAGCAGAAGGGGAGATGGCTCTATGACCCAGACCKTTGCTCCATGAGATAATATCCAGTCCCCACATCGTGATTTGTGCACGGTGGGATTTGTCTCCAGGTCTCCTTTCATGATGTGTTCACAGTGTAAAGCTCCTGTCACTCCTGTGCTGGGAACTTTGTGTAATCCAAGGGATAAGAGCAGTTCCATCTGGAAAGCAGGAATTGAACTGCTGGGGTAACTTTGGTGGCAGAGTTCCTCAGGGCACAGGTGTCTGTAGGTTCTGTGTTTTGTGTTGGGATAGAGCAGCTCCAAGGAGCCTTGAGCAGCTCTGGGGCCATTGCCTGCCCTTGCTTTGGGATGGATCTGTTCTGGGAAAAACAAATGTCTGTAGTGTAGTTCAGTGTGTGCTTTGTGTGTACATCGGGCCCTGAGTGCCCACAGTGTCTCTGGGCTGTGGCAGTGCTGACAGAGATGATATCCATGACCTGTTAATGATCCTCTGACACACAGTGCTTCCAGTCCAAACTGGAGCACAGCGTCCAAGGGGAGGACAGGCTGGGCATGAGAAATACCCCTCCCACTGTCAGTCAGGTTTGCTTCATCACAAATGTGAAAAATGGGACTTCATTTTCCTTGAGCTTTTCTATTACCTGTTAATACCTTTCACAGAGGAAAAATATGGTTTTTGTCAAAATCATTATTATTTAAAGCCATATAAATTTGAAACCTCTTAGAAAGTTACAAATGAAAATTAAAATACCTATTTTAATTGTTTCTTAAGTATATGACCTTTGGTTTATGTTCCCCTCCCCGAGTGCAGATGTTACAGCCACGAGATCCTTCATGCATTCCAACATTTGTTTAGGTTAGCAGCATGCTGCAGAGGACTSACAGCTCCTATATATTTATATCAGTTATGCTCATAGAAAAAAATATGGTTCGTGTAGYAGCTTAATCCATAGGAATTCAAATAAATTCTGCTCTTTGGACCTTTTCTTGTTTTCAGGTCTGTAGTKTTCTCCACCCCATCTGTGTTAACCCAGACAAATCCTAGTGAGGTGAAAGTGGTTTTTATTACCTACAGTAATTGTCTTTTGTTTAATAAGCTCCTCTCAGCTTTTGAAACTGAGGAACTCTAGTGTAGTTTACTGAGATGGTCATATTAAACTCCTCTTGTTTCTGGCAAGCAATGGTAGGGGTGCTCCATGGAGATTTCAGTAGGTGCTGTAAGGATCCTGAACTCAGCTGCTGTCTCTGAATAGGCTGCTTTTATCCCAAGTGTTGCAGACACAAATACAGTGAGGTCAGTGCCACGAACTGTTCCACAATGAAGCTGTCCCAAAATAACCAGTCCATGGCTGATGATAAACAATRGAGTGCAGGAAGAGCTCTCAGGCTTGAGCTGTTGTTGAGAGAAGGAATTGGCAATGAGCTCCAGGGCTTCAAAGAGGAAATCCCTGAAGTTTCTATGCTAGTAGCAGAAAATGTGATGGATCTGAGAAGGTTTTCTGAGCCRTGTCTTGGCTGGTATGGTTAGGGGCAGTTTCCACTTTTACAAACCCCATACAAAGTATGGGAGTGTGGTGGAAGGAGACAGAGCTGTTCATCAGCCCGTGTTCCTGTTGCATTATGTGCAGCAAMAGTGGCCTTCAGCCAGGGAGCACTGAGTGTGTGGACAGCTTGGAATCCACAGTCACGACAGGACCTGCTGGGATGTCTGGGATCCTCCCCCAGAGCATTAATGACAAATAGATGCCATATGGAGAAATTCTCTTGCCAACAGTCTGTGATGCCATCTTTGTCTTCCAGTTCTTATCAATCACAAATGACTTTTAAATAGATTTTTATTTTTCTTCAGTTATATGATTTCATCTTCTCAGCTACTAAAGACACTGACCTCTCAGTAGACTCCTCCAGAACAAGACTTTATTTCTGAWAGGAGGGTTCTGTGGCAATGGCTGATTTATCACCTTTTTCCTTCACCTATACATCCCCTCCTCCATTGCAGCTGACTCATCCATTCCTCCCCTCACCACTGCATTTTCTTTTCTTTTGCTGTAGGTACAAAGAGCATTTTCACTTTTAASTTTTTTGAAACTCAGATGTGTAACTATGTCATTGCATTAACATTTTTGCATCTACTTGAGGTTTTTTTAAAAAGCAGACACTGTAATACTTTTAAAGCTGGAATTTTGCTCACCCCTGCTGGGACTGGATGGTGTGCGTGAGAATGTTTATAAAATCAATTAAATATACATGAATAGCACGTTCAATACAGTAACTGTCACAAGTTTTATTGATGTGGAATCTGGTTGGAGTAGATTGCCCCCTCGTTTGTAATTCACCTCTGTATAATTCAGTGTTGGACTGCCCACCCCTCAGCTACAATGAGGCTTTTTTTAATGCTACTTTTATTTTTTAAGGTCTTCTTTGCTATACCCAYAGGATTAGAATCACTTAGTGTTTAGTGCAGGTCTAGCTTTGAGAGGTTCCTAGGYTAAAGAATCCTATATATATAAATATGCTATATAACTGTGGAGTGACATAATGACACTATTTAAAACAAGTCGCTGCTTTCATAGTATCTTTAGGTTTAGTTAAARACAATTTAAATCAACAAACAAATTMATTTTCTCCCCAGAATGTTTCTAGTACATTGTGTTGGGACATACAGATCCCAGCTGAGAGTTATGCACCATTCTATGCTTTATATGGAGTAGCCCTGCCTGGCAGGTTTTGTAGCCAAAGTGCAGAGCACAGAGGAGGAAAACAGGGCAGAGAATCACAGTTTTATGGATGGAAGCTGAGACACARAAGCATTAAATGTAATTTGTAGCTGAGCACGTAACACACGTGTCTGGTTCTATTTTTGAAAACATCCTTTTCACTTTCTTTTTAGTTCTGGAAGAATGACTGGAACTGTGGCAAAATTGTCTTTTTAGATTTTAAATGTGGCTTTAAGAGTTCTTGTCTTCAGAAGAGCTCAGAATATGAGGAACTTACTAGAAAATAAACAGCTAGATCTGAAATAAATGGYCTGGTGCCTGTGTAGTGATAGGAAGGCAAAAGTAAAAACAGTATCAGATTTTAAAAACATTTTTAGGTCAGTAGTAAGAATATGTCTAATGCAGGTGTGGAGAGAAGATTAGGCTTAGCCTTTATTATCTAGCACTAAATCCATTTTGTCTCTAAAAACTGAAATCCCACTGTCAAGGTCTAAAGAGATTGTTCAATTGGATTTACCCAGACKCAGGATATGTGATAAATAGTGATTTGTGTATTGTCCCTTGGATCTGTCCACCTTACTTAAGGATTTGAACTGTGCCAGTGTAATGAGCCAGCTGCTTTARCTGCTTCCAGCTTCTGTGTTCTGCCAGCTTCAGCTGGGATGGGGAGCTCCCTGCAGTCTGTGCAGGAAGGAATTTATTTTGTTTCGTTGTTAAGGGTTTTTTGGGTTAGTTTTTGGTTTTTGTTTCCCTCCCCSCAGGCTGTGGTGGGTCATAGAGGTCCCTTGATGAGCAGCAATGAAATCTCAGCACTTGCTCTCCTTTGCAGGATATCTGAGGAAACAGCCATGGACAATCCTTCAGCTCAGCCATCTCCTGCCCTTCACTGCCAGGGCTGGATCAGCACCTTCACTGCCATCTGCTCTGGGAACATGAAAAACCCCAAATCAGCCCTTCTGAGCCCCAGGGCTGGAGAAACAGCATTTGCTCATGTTGGCAATAAAGGTAAAGCTCCTTTGCATTCTTACAGGAGTTAAGCTGGGTTTAAAGGAGCATATGTGTACCCCAGCTTTGTGCTCCCTCAGCTCATTTCAGACTGTGTGCTTCATGTGTGTGCCTTTAAATGATAATGTGGGCTTATCTGGGAACAATMTGTGTCCCCACAGAGCTCCTGCACTGAGCCCCAGAGGTTTTTATGTGTTTAAATGCTCATACCATTCAAACCACTGAAGCAGTATTCTTAAATGTACTTTAGTTTAGGTCTCAGTGGCCTTCATAAATCAAGATGACACAAAGACTGAAAACCAGGCCTTTGCTGTGGAAAAAATAATTTTCTTGTTACGTAAAAAGTGTATGTAATCATTTGGGGATGGTTGCTTTTGGCAATTATTACTGTAATTTTGTTTTTCTTGAGCACATTTTTATTAGAAAAATGTATCATTTCAAGCATTTCTTCAGAAACAAACTTCAGACATGACTTTGGWCAAAAAACATCCACTTTCTGATCATGCTAAACCTGGCCAAAAGCTGTGTGAAATGTCTTACAATATAACTGGGCTTTTAACTTTTACCTCAGCAGTACTGATTATAATCTTAAGTATTTAATTTATGTGGGTGTATAAATACTGAATTGTCTTTCCTCACACAGATCAAGAACATTGAAAAAGCATGGTGTCTTAATCATTCTTTTAACATGTAACATGTTTCAATGTGAAGATTCTGCTTGAATCCTTGAGGATTGGCTTTACCATGTACAAGATTGAGCGTTATTTTTGTAGTTATATAACAAATAACTAAGTTATTTTTATTACTTTAACTCATTTCTTGAACAGATAAGGTTTTTATTTTACTTTGGGCAATGAGCAGAATCAGTTTTGATCCTTGTTGAGACATCTTTTATTAATGAAGCAAAGTTTGAATTATACAATATACTACAAAAAAACCCAAAATAAAAGGCAGCCCATACTTGGGGAGAAAAGGCCAGCTGCTGAAGTATGATTTGATTAAAAAAAAAAAAAGATATCTCTGTGTTAGCATGAAGATAATATTCATTTGTTTTCACACTGGTCACAAATAACACAGAAATTATGCATCGAGGATGGTGATATGATTTATCCTGTTGTGTGTTTGTCAGACTGAGGGTAAAACATAGGTATTAGCAATTTTCACCACCTCTTGTAATAAATGTGAATTTTACCAGGGCAGGGCATTCAGTCAGGACTGAGCCATACAGAAATAACACKTTGGCATCGCTGTTTCACACAAGCAAATGAGGACTGACAACCACTAAGTGCAGTCCAGGCTTTCTGAAGAAAAATATAGGCCATGGTAAACACAAAAATACATTCCAGCCTGCAGGGCCTAATCAAAAAAGAAGCCTCTTGAGAGGCAAGATCTCTGTGCACCACCACAGCACGGCTGCCACTGACTCTGCTGSCAGTGCTGGAGCCACTGGGCTCAGCTTTGATCTCTGGTTTTACCTCTCTGTGTCTCCAATCAGCTGCATTTTCCCAGGTGCTTTCAGGGAAACCTGATCTGCCCTATAATCTTGCTTAGCTCCTGGGCACTGGAGTATCAGTGCTGTGCATAATTCAGGCAGGGTGAAATGCTCTCTTCTAACATTCAGGACAAGGAGACAGTTTGTAGCGATTTTTCCCGGGTGGCGAATGAAAGACAGGAGATGCAGTTTTGCCCAATTGCTCCCAAGGTGGTCAGTAGCTGCTGTAAGGTGCAGTCCTGTTTTCTCCTCCTTCTTGCTTCGTGTTCCTTGTTTGTCACTTAGAGAAAGTGGTAGACAGCACAGTTGGACCAGACAGAAAATTTCCCCAGAGTTGTGTAATGCAGAGATTKTTGTTTTACCTAAGGAATAGAGGTGGTGGCAGAAAAAACCTTCTCTTTAATTTGATACAAAAGCTTTTCCCTTTCGACATCTCCATATAAGAAGCAAATGTGAACATATTTCTTGGTTAAGCAGAATATTTWTTAGCATCTTAATAGTATGAGTTAAAATACATTCAAATGTATAACTGCTGCAATATATTAAAATATATTTAAACAGTAGATTAAGTATCTTTCTTGTTCCAGGGTTGAATGTTGATAATATTTGTATCACAAATGACATTTGTCTCCCCRGTCTGATTCTCCATTAGAGAGCTTCTTGAGAGTAGTTCAGCTTCTAACTAACCTTTMAAAGCACATCTGCACATTCCTGTTCCAGCTGCACAGACAGGATGAAAAAGAGGTTGAATAGCAGTGAAAACTTAAAAAACTGGATCTCACAAATCCCAGTAAGTTGGTTTTTTTTTTTTTTACTGTGCATGTTCTTTTGCATTCAAGTTTTAGGGCTTAACCATGATTTGAAAGCCTTTAACATTTTTTAAAATGCTGGTTAAGAAATTGTATAAAAGCTATTGATTTTTCTTAGTTATTTGCCACAGCACCTGTAATTTAGCATTATTATTCTTCACAATCAATTAACAATCCATGCAAAATTGCTGTATGTGCTCAGGAATGGATTGAGAACTGCTGCAAAGCCCTATTCAGAACTGCACATTCCCACTCTCGGTAAYGTGGCAGTCATTTTTTAATACATAACACTTATCTTTGCTTTATTCATRGCAATAATGATGTCTGAGCAAATGTCAGATGAAAGAGATCTCTTAAAGTCAAATTCCAGACACTGAATTTTAATATTTACCCTGCAATCTCCAACATAGTTAAASCAAACATTTTCTGTAGTGTTTAAAGTTGCAAATATTAAAGTTACCCAGTTTCAGGTTTATCATCTGTAACACACTGTAATGCAAAACTGTAATTGCAGGCAATATTGGTTTTATTTAGTTTGACAGTAAACTGGACTTTATCATAAATACCAAATCACCTAAATGGAAATTGAGGTAATATATTTTGAATTTTATTTATCTTCCTGTCTGGTGCAAATCATGCATTTATTTAGCAATATATTCCTCTCCCCCCACCTCCCCAAATAAGAATCTTTCCATAATTATTCCACTGAAAAGTTTTGTAGATAATACAGGGTCCACCTAGACCATCCTGATCTGTCTTCTTCTACAGTTCACCCACAATGTTGGAGGTTGGATTTGCCATTTTCTGCAATACTACACCACCTGGCTTTTTTTTTTTTTTTTTTTTTTTTAATGCTTTTCTGCACTGCCAGCGAAGTGGGATTCACCACACTGTCATGAAGACAGGCTGAGAGAGCTGGGGATGTTCAGCCTGGAGAAGAACCTGGGGAGACCTTGGAGCACCTTCCAGGATCTTCAGGGGCTGCAGGAGAGCTGGAGAGGGACTTTAACAAGGACCTGTAGTGACAGGACAAGGGGATGGCTTCAAAGGGAAGAGGRAAGTTTAGGTGCTGTTAGGAAGAAATTCTTTCCTGCAAGGGTGGTGAGACCCTGGCACACGATGYCCMGAGAAGYTGTGGATGCCTCATCCCTGGAAGTGTTCAAGGCCAGGTTGGATGAGGCRTTGAGTAAYCTGTTCTGTGGRAGGTACAGCAGGGGTTTGGGACTAAATGATGTTTGAGGTCCCTTCCAASCTAAACCTTTCTAGGACTCTTTATTCACTTACTGAAAGATAATCAAAATAATAAAATCATTATTGGGCTTGASGAAAGGCAACAGATGAAACAAATCTGTTCCTTCTGCTGGGTTTCATTTCAACCTGAGATGCTACTGCAGATGGTGAGCAAGAAGATTATCCTGGCACAGCCTGACTTCCGTGGCAGAGCTGGCAGTGTCAGGCTCTTTGCAGGAAGAGATGCACTCTCTCCCTTCCTGCAGGCAGGAATCTGGGCTGTTTGGCACCTTGCACAGGATTCTGCTTTAAAAACGAGTTCCACTCAAGGGTACCAACTTGCAGGCTCTCCACAGAGCAGAAGTAAGAACTTTGCATGATCTTCTGTCTCCCTTTGTAAAGGCTCCACTGTGTTAATGAGGGTTCAAAAGAGTGCCTTTCATCCAGTAGAATTCCTTAGAGGAAAAGCAAACCTCTTGTGAAAAGATTTTKAAATTAATTCAAGGCAAATGCTTCAGGGAGTGGGGTATTAAAACCTGTATCAGAGCTAACAGTATTATATGAAAAGCAGAAAACAAATACTTAGCAGGTAGGGGAAGACACGTGAGTATCACAGATTATGTAAAAGCCACATTCAGTGACTGTTTTAGGGTCAGCAGTAAACACCCTTGAGGGCTAAAGAGATCTGATGAGCTGGGGGCCTCTGCTTTTGATTTCTGTACTTTGTCTTTAAATCAAGTTGCTAATTCATGCTCCTTATCACATAATGCCATGACTTTTACAGCAGTCAGCAGGGATGGGGCCCTGTTTCTGTACAGCAGCTGAAGAAAATGTCAAGTACCAACACACRCACTGCTCCCTCGATACAAATTAGCTGATCACATAAATGGGGAAACGGAGAACTCTGACCCTGTTAGMGCAGAATGTGGATAGTGGATTAACACTCCAGACTTCTAATTAATTTCAGTGTGTCTCATCCTTCTGAYTGCAGCTGACTATGCCATTCTTCTCACTTAGGCCCAACAGCTGTCCAGTATTAACACTTATCTGTGAATCCATCTCCTAGTTCAGCTGCTGGCTGACAGACAAWGGTGCAATCCTGAATGTTTCAAAAGCACATTTCACAAAGACTCACAAACATCCTTATATGTGAACTATACTTTTATTGTGTGAATACTCTAAAAAATCCCATAGATCTTAAATTCTAAAAACTCAGTAACACTGCACTGCTTATGCTATTTTCCCATACAGAAAAWAGTACAGACCAGTACCGATCATAGCTTTTTTCTTCTATAACATGCACAAAATATTTCATACAAACTACAGTAGCATCAAAGTTTTACAGCTTTAGTGAAATGGGAATTCCAAAATTTCTTACATACACACCAAATTTATTTGAAGATGACACAGATTAATCTAAATTTGATRTTACTTCTCAGGTAAAATTTGTATATCATTGAACTGCTACAAGAGATACATATTTAGCTACTTATTTTTAATCCAACTTTTAGATCAYGTTTTAAGAGGAGTACTGCAAATGCATTGAAGCCATTGAGTCAAGAGACACCATGCAGATCCCACAAAATATTTCAGTAATAGGATCTCTCTTCTCAGTCTTAAGGCATCTGAAATTCAAAACAAAAGCCAAACTAAGAAATTCTGAAATTCTCTCCACAGAAAGACACTACATTATGTTATTATAACATACTACAGTATGTTATTTTCAAAAAGAACTATCTTAAGGCAATGTGCCCCTCCTACAGGCTGCAAACCACAGCTATCCTCCCCTCACCTGTTTTGGTTCCTAAAATKTAAGAAAGAAATCTCAGTGAWGGAAGAAAATATGGGTAMTTGTACATATTCAGACAAAAGAATGAGATTATAGAAATTTAATCTAAAATCTACAGACTCTAAACAAACTCCATGCAATATGCTTTTATTATTCATAAAAGGAGTTCCCTTGCTTGTTTCCCACTACAGAAAAACAGCAATGGACTGTGATTCTTCGGTTATCTATAAAGCTGYGGAAAAAATAAGGGAATGAAAAGCTAACTGAATTTGTTCCACAGCACGACAGGATTGTCAACCCACAAGGATATCAGTAGGGATGGTAACGAGGCCCCGGGTTGTAGGAGTTGTAGCCATACTGTCCGTAGTGGGAGGAGTAGGACTGTCCTTGTCTGTGCTGCTGGTAGTTGTTACCCCATCCTCYTTCTGGCCTCTGGTTAGATCTGTAGTCACCTTGCCAGTTGTATCTGTCCCCTCTGAAATATCTGCCATCCTGGAACCTGCAATGAAAAGATACTTCAAAGTCTGACACAAATTATCAAACCTAAATAGATGAATGATAACGAACTCATATTTGGCAGTTTTCATGAAGAAATAACTCCAAGTATTTTGCTTTGGCAGGTAACACTGTACTTGCTAGATTGGATGATTGATTTTACTGTCTCTTGTACTGAGTAAAAGAAATACAGGGTTATCTTAAAAAGTACAGCAAACATTTAGCTTCCAGTGAAATGTTTTCTGGACAGCTAGCAATAGATAATCACACTATTAGCTTGTTCCTTTGCACATCTTCCTACCAGTTATCAACCAGCATAAGATAGGCTGCTTAGTTTTGCAGAGATCTCTTCCCCTCTGGAAAAATGTTCCTGGCTGAGCAGTAACAAACCCCAGGGCAATGGATTCASTAGTTCCAGCTCATTCTTTACTAAAAAGCCAATAATGTAGTACTATAAACAATGCAAAAACTTCGCCTATCAATACAGAGAAAATTTAAAACCTCATTACTCTTCAGAGAAGACTACATTTCTCTAAAACATAGTTACCTATGAAGTAACAAGAAAATACTTCTATGAACAGAACAGACTCCTGTATTTCTTCTGAAATAAATGATCATTTAACTGTATTTGTGAAATTGCCACAATTAAAAAGAAAAATCAGTACCGATCTCTGTTTCTCTGGTTGCCACCAGATCTGTTTCTCCATTCTTCAACTATAGGAGGGGGATCTGCAGGGCGTTTTAGGTATTCTTGGAATTCTTCATCATCCGATGTGAATCGATGAGCAAACATCGTTTCATAATTTGGGGGCATTTCAGCCAAGGAAGTCATTCTGAAAACTTTAAACGTGAACAYAACAGAAGTGGCTTTAGCATTGTATGAAGACTCCCACTGTAATAATTACCAAAATCCACACAGTAAAAATGAAGGACAAAGAGAAGCTACACTCAGATTAACACAGCTTTTGGGTTTTGGGCAGACAGCATAGATATCTGAGAAAAAGTACTTCAGAACAGGCATCCCATCTACTCCTTATCCACTTTTGACAGGAAAAACATTACTACAATCAACTTGAAGTTTGCTAAGGCAGAATATCATGCAAAGCCTACAGAAACCAGCAAGACAGGCAAAATAATCAGATTTATTCACAGCAATTTATGTGTTAATAACTTGATTCAGGGGAAGGTCAGCACCTAAAAGGATGCTAAATTACCTCATAATATGCCTGTCTGATGGGATTTGTGTAAGGYCTTAGTTTCCTTATTTTTGTACATATGTATTTGCCATTCAGATGTGTTACCTGGTACCATCCAACAGCAAAATCTGGCCTTAACAGCAAACTCTGAGAAAGGCTTTAAGCCCACTGTTTYAACAAACCCCACGTAATTTAGAGCATTTAAGGTATCTGCTTCTAGACTTCCAGAATAAGTTCTTGTGCTGTCTCCCAAAGATTTGTTGGCAGGACCCAAACAGGATAAACCCTCAATGATCAATCCAAATGTGGGGCTCCTGCCTGCTGCACCCACGAGCAGCCCGTGCCTAAGGTCAGCGGGGTGTTCTGTTTTGTTCTGTGACCCAGCACAGCGCTCCCGCGGCCTCAGTTCCCTTCAGAGCCTCAGGCACTCGGTGTCTGCGCCTGCAGAGCCCCGGGCAGCGTTCCCCGGCGGTGACACAGCGCACACCTCCCCGAGGCAGGTGTGGGAGTCATTCCTGCAGGATGCAGCAATAACTCACCCTTCCTTCTGCCAGGAGCTAACCTCGTTAGTTTTGATTGCGAGCTATCTCCAAGGAACTTCGCTAAGGTCTGTGGCAATCGGGGTGAGGGCGGCGGGGGTAGCGCTGCCCTGGGGATCCGCCSCTGCGGCTTCTGCCCTTCACGGTTTATCCCGTTAATATCCCACTCATCCCGAGGGACCGGGGACACCCTCCCGCACCTGAGGCCAAGCAGGGAGCGATGGAGGGGGCTGGCTCCGCCGGAGAGCCCCGCCCGAGCCCCCTCCCCTCACGACGGGCCGGGCCCAGCTGAGGGGGCAGCGGGGATCGCTGAGGGGGCAGCAGGGATCGCTCCCGCTCCCTCCTCCCTCAAAGCCTCCCTCCCTCCCCCGCAGCCGCCCCTCACGGCTCCTCACCGCCCCTCACCGCGCCTCAGCCGCCGCCGCCGCCGCGATCCCGCCTCTTCCGGGCCGGGCCCCGCCGCTTCCCGCGCCGGGAGGGACGCGGGACGCCGGGGCGGGACACGGGGACACGGGGACACGGGACACCGGGACACAGGGGCGGGACACCGGGACACAGGGGCGGGACACGGGGCACCGGGGCGGGACGGGACGGGGGACAGCGGTCCGGGCGGGGCGAGCAGGGGTGAAACCAGCGATTCCTCCCGGTTGGGGATTGATCCGAAGCGCGTTGGCAGCGATGGTACTGAGGGTTGAGAGGCGCTTTCCTTCGCTGCCACGCGGGTTTGGAGGAGGCGACTCCTCAAACGTTTGGSTTTTAACCGAATGAAAAAGGTTAAGTGAGCGTGGTGCTTGTGGCTGTTCATAATGCCATTTAAGTGTATTTCTGGTATTAAAAAAAAAATCTAGGAATGTGTTGAGTGCTACGTGAAGAAAGTAAGATGACGTGAAGCTTTTTGGCAGGTAAATAACTCGGTGTAAACCGAAATAATTCTGTGTTGRCCCCTGCTCCAGAACACATTTACTCTCCCAGCTGGTGCAGGAGGCAGCGGTCAGTGTTGTCACCCTTCATACAGGTGAAATTATGTGTGAACCTCCAAACTTGAGGCTTGTCACCGTTAATACAGGCGAGGTKAGGGCTGGTGGCATCAACACCTTCCCGCAGCAGAAATGGTGCCGCTGTTGCCGGTCCCCATTTGCCTTGGTCCCACAGCGCCGATGCCTTTGCAATGCTGACTGGTTTCCACAACACTAAAGCCAATGATTTTTAAACGGTTTCTTGTGCTCTGTGTAAGAAATGGGTTTTTTATAGGACTCTTTCAGAAAGCAATGTTTTTTTACAAGCTCTGCTAGAGATTCTGTTGCTCGCAGGCACTAGCAAATTATAGAGACTGATAATCAGGTAAATCACTTGAAACAAAATACCCCAGGAACGGCAATAGTGGTATCCAATTCTCCAAAAATATTAGAACAGAACAAGTGCTCTTTGTTTGATATAAAGAGGAATAATTACAATCTGCTCTCCTGTGTGACCTACAGTAGGAGTGTATTGTCCCTTGTAGAATAGGAAACGATGACCTCAATCCAAATAGCATAATGCAAACACCTTAGCCTGGTTAGCTAGTTCTAAGGCAAACAAATTGTCATTGAGGCTGAAAAATAATATCTTTTTGTGTAAGTTTTCCCCTTATAATCCCTCTCCTTCCGACTGCTTTTTGAGATGGGCAGAAGTAAGCAGGATTTCATTTCTTCTCCAGACATGTTTAATTTTGATCAYTAGATATTGCAGTTTCAGGTGTGTCTACAGAGGATTTAATGTATGAAGTTAATGAGAGGATTCTTAATAAAAGGTACACACTTCTTTATTTTTGAGGCTCTAKTCTGCTGTTTCATGGGTGACATTTTTCATTAAAAGTTCAAACTTAATATTAAACCTTTAATTATAAACTCAAGTCATCCATACAGTTAAACATGTRCATAATTTAAGCATCTATGTAAATTCTGTTGAAGGCATGGGCCCCTGTAATCCTATAAGCAGTATCCTTCACAAATTACAGTTTTGGTATGGTGCTCTCATCAGAATATTTTGCATAGGAAAAGTCTTGCAGGGAATGGCTAAACCAGAGTGGTACACAATTAGATGTATAAACATGTATTTTTGCATGATGCTTGTATTTTGTTTCTTTTTCATTACATGTCTTTATGCCTGCTTTGGGTTATAACATCAAGAAAGATATCATGATCCAGGCAATATCCTAAGATTTCTCATAGATGTTATTCTGAAATTCAAACTGCATATAAAAAAAACCCAAAGTGACAGATGATTTTTAAAGGAATAAAGGCACTCAAAAATGGGTATTGTCACCGAGYAGAACTTTCAACACCCACTAAATGCCTCACATAGCACATACCTACAGACTAGGTGCCTGAGTACTTAAAAGGTCAAGCTCCAAGTGTTGTCAAGACAGAGAAATTGATAATCCACTCTTGCAATCTTTCTGCTCACTTCAAGGCTCTCTGGGTAATTAATGTGTTGTTTTTGTGTGAACACAATCCCCTAATCAGCATCTCTGAAGTCTACTGCAGTGTGATAAAGCCTCAAAGGGTTTGCTTTTTTCTCTGTGGATTTCATTATGTTAAATAATGTGCTGTTAGATGAAGTCTTATCTTCYACATTTTAAACTAAGACTTGTTCCTTGTAGCCTACTGGAAATTAATTAAGGTTTTGCAGAAGGGAKCTTCCTGGCTGAACAAAGAAGTATGTGCTAAAATGAGCAAAATCTTGTTTGCCCTGAAACAATGGAAAATGACAGGGGTTTTKATAGCTATTTAGCCTTGATAACTCTTGCTGTTCTGTCACAGGACTTTGTATTTGATGTTTTGCCTAAATACCCAGCTTCTGGACTCATGTATTTCCATTATATTCAACTTTCATTTGAAAATTAATTTCGAGCCCTAGTTATTATAGACAGATCTTGGGAAAGCAGGCAAATCTGCTCTACAGGAAAACCAGCCTGTACCAAGGWGCAAAAGGAAAACATTGTTCAAATTTTGTTTAAAATCTTAAATCTTTGACAATTTTCTGTTTCTTTAAGACTGAATTCATTGCTCAGTCTCAGTAGAGCTTGACAGCTGTGACATTTTCAATGAAAAGTCAGCATGTGTCTATCTCAGTAGCAAGAGAAAAGGAGAACTACATATTTTTCTGTGCATTTCTATATCTTGAATCAGGAGGGATTATTTTTATTCAGTGTTAATATCTTCTTAGATAAATCAACAAAGAAACTAACATCACTTGTARTTGGGGCCTATCTGATTGAAGGAATATTTGTCTATGAACGAATAAGCAGCGAAACCTCTGTAGATGGTTGTRGGTCCTGCTGGGGTTTTTAATACCAAAGGAACATATCAGAAAATACTTTGGTGAAAATTTGTCTACAAACCCCTGATTTTTTTCTTAGCTTGCTGAAACTGCTCAGTGGTTTTCTGTCGGCCAATTTCCCTCTCCCCCAGCTCTTTTTCAATGTTGCAGTTACTGTGTAACTCAAAGCCTGTTTTGTTTGTACAACRAAACCTGATTTCCCCAGGTAATTTTTTCTAGGAAACGGTGATGTCTGGCACAGCCAGGGAGAGCAAGACTTTGTGTTCTGGCTGCAGCAGGTCCAAAGGGCACGCATGGCAGCCTTGTTATTGATTGCACATAAAGGAAAGCTGTGTTTCCGTGGGCACGAGAGGCTGTAGGACCACAGGGGACCCCTGAGCGATAATGAGCGCCAGTGTTTGCTCCATCAGTCACTGCACTCACAGAGAGGTGAGCAGAGATACTCTTTAGCCAGTCTACAGAAATATTGGGGGTTGTGCTCTTTCTCTGGGACCTCCAGCGCTCASAAGATGAGTTCTCATCATGGGATTTTATTCCTTTAGCTGGAAAGGATTATTGCCTAGATGAAACTCAGTTAAATAACAGGAAAGATGGAGATAGAACAGCTGCTGCTGACAAATGCCTCTGAAATCCATGCAGCTCTTCTGTCAGATCTCTTCCTTTGCTGCTWTACTGTACAATATCATTGAGCTTCAGTGTCTTTCACACACCTCCATATGGTGGTGTAAAGTGAAGTCCATAAAGGAGCAGACTGCGTGTTTCTAACAACTTGACTGAACTTAATACAGGAAATGTTTCCTTCGCGTAACAATGACCTTTAAATGTTAACTGCCTAAAAAAATAACATTGTCCTTTTTTAAAAAGGAGAATATGCGATTCCTGGTGCTTGATTGTGTTACAGAATAACARTTTTGGTGCTGTGGGGCCCAATTCCTTTCCATTAAGCTTACAACTGTGTAGTACTTGATTAGAAGGAGTTTATTCCTAATTTATGCCAGTATGAAAGAAGGCCTTTAATTTTCCTAAGAGCTACTTCTGTTGCCTGTCTTTTAAAACTCACAGTCACATTAAATTATATTTCTAGCATATTGTTCTTAAAATCTGACTGTCATTTATACATTATATGTATATTTATATACATACATACAAATTTATAATCACKACATTCTAGCTGCCTTCTTTTATTTTCACCTTTTAAACTGACTAAGCCAGCTGTGCCCTTTGGGGTCCATAAGAATGAATCATTTTTATTATTTTTTTTCTCTCTTAGACAGTAATTACAGAGTAGTACGCTGTCTCTGGTTTTTAATATTATGGTGCCATTTTAATCCAAGGTGCAACGCCATTAACTTCAGCAGAGTTACACTTGCAATGAATTTGTTCCCAGGAGGCTTTTCCGAATGTTTGGTTCTTTCCTTGTGATTACCCAGAGGAATGGAGAAGAAGAAGGCAAGACAGAGGAGCCTTTGATAGGAATGTAGTTCAAAGGGAAGCCTTGTTTCTGCCATTCCTGGTGCTCCATATGTTCCTCATTTGGGGTGGAGGTGGGTTAGACCCCGTGGGGCACACATGCTGGGCTGGGGGCAGGCAGAAGGTTTTACACAGCACATCTGGTGCACAGGTTATGTTCTTTCCTACATGTAGGTACTGTGCAAGTGGGAAGGAAAAAAAAAAAAAAAGAAAAAAGTGGGAGGAATATTCAGACACTTTAAGTGTACTTCTGTGGAACTGCTTTAAAGTCAGAAAATGGAGTAGCCAAAAGCTTAGATATCAAACGCATCATGATTGTCAGGCTGTCTCAACTCCAACTCAGATSCTTTTTAGATGTCAAGTAATTCTGCAAGTGGGGATGTGTGAATCAATGCTACCATGGAATACCTATTGTTAAGATAGCTGCAAAATATAAAGAAGGTACTTGCAGGAGTTTCTAGCACTMGATTTTATTC